GATGTGGCGAATTCCTCAGCAAGCGGGCAAGACTGAACATGTATTGAGAACCATCATTTGCTCGCTTTTGCAATGCTCCATTTCAGTTATAGAGGGAGTCCAGGAAGGAAACACCTTAACTTATAAAGAAGTTTTTAAGACAATTTTAAGTACGTTTTGTTTAAATCGGGGATATTCTGAATGGCTGAGCCACAAGATTCATTCAAAAGTTGGTTCGAAAAAATACTGTCTAAGCTTAAATTTACATTGCAAAAAAATAAACACTCCAGATTTATGTAAATTTTTTATTATTTACAAAAGAAATTAATATATTTGTTCAGGATGAAAAATGAACACAAATGAAAAAGTAGTCGCATTGTGTAAAATGGGTGTTTTTTTTTATTCGTGTATTTTTTTTCTTTCTGAACAAATATATTCATTTCTTTTTTAAATAATAAACAATTTACATGTGACTGGAGTGTTTATTTTATTGCAATGTATATTTGACCTTGGAGAGTATTTTTTCGATTCAATGTTTGAATGCTTATTGCGGCTCAGCCTTGCGGAATATCCGAGGAGTTTATTAGACTAGATATGCTTGAAATTGTCTTAATAGCTTGTTTTTGAAGTTTAGATGTTTCCTCCCCGGATATCCAGTATTTTAATAAATTACTTTAATTTATACTTGCATTAAGTAGTAAATGTATGTATTTAAAACATAGTCTCTTTTTCAGAAGAAAATTTATTATCTATAGAAAAATTCCGGAAGTAAAAGGAAATGAAAATGTTTGATATTTCTAACCAGACGGTGCTTTCTTAACTTTTCAGAAGTTGAAAATAATGAAATTGCATCAGCTTTTCATGCTATTTTTTAATATTGTTGGCAAGTACTTTAAAGTGGACCTTTACCTGTGAATATTTATGAACTCATACGCTCACGTTTAATAAATATAATTAATAATTACTATAATTACATATAATGAATCAGCTAGCTAGCTAATGTCGGACAAACCGAACCTGTACAACCAATACAAACACAAATGTTATGTATTATTTTACTACTCTTTTTCAAAGTTTCTTTCAATTAAATGGAATTATATCATATTATCATAAAACATCATTGAGTTGTTTTGATCCAATTAGTTATGTCTCAAAAACGTTACGTGGTAAGATAAATTGATCACTTAAAATATGTAATTTTAGGATGTTAATATTTTTTAATTCACGAATATTTTAATACCCTAAAAATTAAATGTATTTTAGTTAAAGTGCCGTAGTTACGCAGACGACAATTTAAAACGTTCTTGCATTTTCTACTAGAACCGGAAAGAAGTGGCATAAACACTGATAACATCGAACAAACTTACATAAAAACTGATATTAATATGAATAGGGAAATAGATAAAATCGTTATATCGCTCGAAAACGTGTCTGAGCTGGACGGAGACAGTGATGACTGAAAGTGACAGCGAAGATGAGTGAAAGGCTTTCTAGTTTGCAGGCCAGACATGGCGAGCTTTCAAACTCCGCCGTATGCAAGTGGGGGATCATACGATCATATGCAATGAATGTTCCTACTCAAAAAAGCGATACCTAACCTATTGATCTGTAGCTCACGCCTGACTCACGCAGAATTTCAATAACGTTGGCAACTTTCTTCTAGTTTCGATCCCAATAAGCGCCTCGATCTGTTTATGCGGAGTTGAAAGGCCTCGGTTACAATTATCATAGGTAATACCACGCGTGCTCTGGAAATCGTTGATACATTCCAACGTGCGAAGCGAGAGGGGATACATCTGATAATTTGCAAAGCACGAGTGGCATTCAACAGAACTATTCCACTAGTGAAATTATGTCCAACAGAATTCCAAAAAGCGCCAAATATTAAAAATAATTGAAACAGTGTGTTAAAATCAGAGGTTATGTTATACTACATGCGCTGTGTATTGGACATCGACATTGCGCCCCCTGCGATAGATGATTTGCAGTCTATGATTGGACAGTAAGGTGAAGCGGTAAGAAAAATCGGATAGAAAAAGCGATAACCTTTTCGAGACACATCACCCTGATTGAAGCATTTTGTTTGTATACTTATAAAATTTGCTGTTTTAATTTCACAAGTGTAATAGTCCTCGTAATTCAGACGATAATGAAAATTTATAAGGAACACCACACAACTATGATATATTCTTAAAATTTGTCCTGAAATGTAATATAATGCCCGACACACTTGTGTTTGACTGTTATCGATCTCATTGTACTTCAGTGTTAATTAAGAATACTATCATTTATTTTCTCTAACATTCATTTTTATGTTCTTACCATTTCAATTATGACTATCTGTAATACGTTTTATGGATGAAGTTTCCAATTTCGAAATGTTTTAAAAATGGGATAAATTATTAAAATTTGTTTTAAGAAAATGTTTGCTATTAGTGTTATTAAAAATTATGTTACATTCTCAAAACAAAAATTGTCTTAAAATTGAATTAGAACCTTCATCAGTGAAACTATTTTTTATTTTTAAGTAATTGAAAAACTACCAGTTGCTAATTTTACTCACTAAATACACGTCTTCTTCAACATATCGATCAAGCGAAATGTTAAAAACACTGCAATTCCATCTTTCTCGTATCCGTCATAACGTTGCCTTGTGAAGAAAGGAATGTCATGCCAGTCTCCCATTTTCCGCCTCAAAACATTTCACCTTATCGCGCTCCTCGCTTACGATGCGTTCGCTCCTCGGTGGTAATGAAGAGGAGGTGAGGAGGGGCGGGGAAGGAAGGGGGAGGGGAGGGGAGGTCGCTGGTCGAATGGGAAGTGACGTGGGGGAGGGCGGCGACGAGTCGATTGATTGCTTGTTAGTGGTTCCAAGCGCGTCAACTACTATGGTCATTAGCCCCATAAGTGCGTAGTTTTGCTCTCGGGAGGTGGCGGCGACGTTTCCCCGCTGTACGGCCACATCCGGCGCCGACCTACCGTCGGCTAGCGGGGTTTCACCCAACAAGGTATCTCCCACCAGCGGGGCACAGCCTCTGCTTGATCAAGTTCTAAGCTTCCGACCAGCCTCCCGGCATGTGAGGTGGTATAGTGCATTTTAGTGTTAAGTGTGTGGATAGGACAAGGAAGATTAGGGAAAGATCGCGAGCTGTCCGAGCCCGTTTGTTATGGTACTGCTCCCGCATTCACCTGGTGTTGATCAGAGAAACTATAAATCAGAGCAGCCGGATACTATAATTCTCCTCCAGACAGCGACTGAATTCGACCTAGCTGACAAGCTAATCCCAAAAATCCAGTCATCATCGGCCTTCGAACCCAGGACCTAGTCAGAGGGACTGCACTGACATCAGTTGATACCCTGAGCCATCTCCTCGTGTGAGGAACACAAATGAACAGGAACTTTTGTGCGGGATATTATTTTCATCGAGAGTTGTGATAATAATATTATTACTTTAATTATCCTGAATAAAAAAATAAACTTTAGACGTTCTCTCTCGTTTTTGTGTTCCAAAAAGAGGCAGTCGCAGAGAAAGGCATAGAGAAAGAAAAAACCCGAGAAAAACGAAGTCGACCAAATTCGAGGACGATAATTTAATTGAATTATTTGAATTTAAGAGGACAGTCAACGGAACAGTTAATGTTGGTGGTTCATAATTTAGAAAATATTTTTAGTTTGAAAGTTGGTGAATTTTGTTTCGTTGAAAAGATTATTTGGGAATATTCCTTAGCAGTGATTCCTTAGAAGGTTCTCGCATCGTATCTGGCAACCCTCATGTGTGGTCTCTGTGGGGGAGAAGAGTTAGCGAAAGAACAAGTCAAGTTTTGATCAAGCGTTAGCAGTGTGTTGAAAGCTATTGACGGGGCTGTGGAAACTAGTTAATTGACCACCCCGGCATTCAAAATTTAAATCGTTAACACGTATCGCAATTAGATAATAACAAATGGCATGCAGCAGTAAAAAGGATGTTAAGCAAAAACAAGAAAATGTTTTCCCGAAACGTAGCACACACTCTACTCTAGAATAAAAATAAAATATTCTCTCATAAACTAACATATTAAATTTTGTAACCAAAACAAATTTTACGAATACTACAAGATACAAGCTAGAAAAGAACAAGAACCCCCTGAAAATAGTTTTTTTTTATATTCCAAGAATATCAAAAACGTTCTACGCAGGGTCGGACGGACAGGCAGGCAAACAGACATTCTGCCGTCAACTAATTTTTCGGGGTGAAAGACCTCAAAACATTAATTCTGACTATGCAACGTGTTACAGGAAGTAATTTTCTATATATAGGAAAACTATTTATCCACATTTTCGTTGCCAAGTCCCGGCGTGAAGTACCTGTGTAAAAAAACTGTTTTCCTGTGCAAGATAACACCACTTTCTCTCCTTATGAAGAAAGAATGAGAAAGGTAAAAAGAGAGAGAGGCATTTTGATTAGGATTTCCAATCGTTCTCTATTTGAGAGGACCGTCCTTCATTGATATCAATTGTCCTCTCGTCCTCCTTGTGTTTTAATAACGTCCTTTTAGTTAATATGTAACATTTATTTTAATGTGTATCGTCTGTTTAATTTAGAATTGAAAACATGAATATAATATTTCTTAACGCTGACAAACGCACATGACACACACGTGCATAATAATGTTTCTGACTAGCGACTAAAATAAAAATGAAATGGATCAAATGTTAATCTAAATTAAAAATGTATATGAAGAATTGTATAGATGTGATTCTTATAGTGCACCATGAAAGCCTCTCCGCACTGGGCCGAGTAAGGACCTCCTATTAAAAATGCCAATGCTGTTGATAGCGAACAGATCACCGGGAAACGAAGGAACAAGACAATATTTCTAGCCTGTTATGATTGTGGTGGGAGTGGTATTTACATTGTCTTTTGTTGCACGTTGCTATGGACATAATGTTGTTGTTGTACTTTCTTGGCGCGCTGTATACATATGCTGGTCGAGCATTGTTGGCCCCCCAGCTGTGAGGGTGCGTGTGTGTGCGTGCGCAGATCGGCGACCAGATCCTGGAGGTGAACGGGCAGAGCTTCCAGGACGTGACGCACGACGAGGCGGTGGGGCAGCTCAAGTTCCACAAGCGCATGGCGCTGGTGGTGTGCGACGTGGGCAAGGTGCCGCACTCGTGCACGGCCTACGACGAGCTGGCGTGGGACTCGCCGGCGCACAGCCCCTGGTCAGTGCCATGCCTTCTCTCTCATTCACTCTCGCTCTCTCCCCCTCTCCCACTCTCTCTCACAAACTCTCTCCCACTCCCTCTCCAACTCTCTCTCCAACTCTCTCTCCAACTCTCTCTCCAACTCTCTCTCCAACTCTCTCTCCAACTTTCTCTCCAACTTTCTCTCCAACTCTCTCTCCAACTCTCTCTCCAACTCTCTCTCCAACTCTCTCTCCCACTCTCTGTCCCACTCTCTTGCTCGCACTCTCACTCTCTTTCAATTCCTCCTTCTCAATCTCATCCCCTGTCTCGTCTAGGCTGCCATGGCGAGTTCACATGGGACTCTTCGGCACACAGGTCGTTGAGTCCGCCCCTTCTCCTTCCACCTCCATCTCTTCCCGTTTTTAACTCTCCTTTCCCACTCCTTCCTTCTCCTCCTCCCTCTCATCCTCATTCTCATCTACATCTACTTTCCCTCTCCTACCGCTGCCACAACCTTCCTTTTCTTCTTCTTCTCCCTCTATCTACACTCCCTCCTTCTCCCTTGTGTACCACTTGACTTTGCCCTGCCTTCCTCTCTCGTCTTCCTGGTGTACGTCCTCACCTTACTTTTACTCTTTCTTACCATTTTTATTTTCCGCAACTTTCTCCTTCTCCTCTCTTCTTTCCCCTTCTGTATCTTTATATTAATTTTTTTCCTCGTTCTTCTGCCTTTGGCTTTGAATTTCTACTTAAATGTTTACTCATTTTGATCCGAGTTTTTCGCATCTTTAAACTAATATTTATATTCTCGTAAATTGAAGGTGGATATTCACTGATATAACTTATTAGTAACGTTGTTTTGTATTTAATATTCATCATTCTCTACATTCTCTATCATCTTCACAACATACGTAATACTTCCTACTAGAAGGTTCATACTTATGTTTTATGTATTCTATTAGTGGTGAACTAGGATTTTGTATTAAATTACGTAAATGTATCAATTTAAAGAATGAATTCTTCTGGAATATTATGTACGTATAACTCTTGCCCGCTATTTTGCGTGAATAGTTACCTTGACTACTTGAGAAAAACTATTTGATTTTGTGTAGCAATTTGTACGGGTAGAGTAGTACGTATGATCTGGTGTTATTTAATATCCTTCTTAGAATTTCTTCTCACCCCCAAACGTTAATGAGTTTTGTATCGGCATCACACGTGGAGCACAAACAGTGAACAACTTTGCGCGCGGACTCTGTGCCTTCGACTGACATCAAAGAGCAGCGAGACGGCTTCATTCATTGTATTCACTACCAAAACTACCGACTTCCTAGCTTTGCAGCAGGCATCCATATCGCAAAAAAGTACTTTTTATTTCACGTGAGAAAGCTCACTTGAAATCAATTAAACAAATTACTAACGTATGTACAACAAATTTCAGAGTGATAACTAGGTAGAGCATTTTTATGCCCTAAAAATCTTGAAATATGCTCTTATAAATATGCATTTATGACCTAAAAATTCTTAAATATGCACTTGAATATGCAGTTTTTTGCGAAATATATGAGAGTGCATGTTGGTGATAAATGTTGACCAAAAATAAAATTACTTCCGAACACTGAACTTATTAAAACATCACTTTTATAAGGGAGATAACTAGAACCTTTTCGAGAACAAAAGCAAGTCTTTTCAAGCCGATAACTTTAAAATGGCTAATTTTACAGGAAAACCTTATATGATATTTTTTTATGAAAAATTGTTTCCACTTTAATTTTGTATAGAAAATAATTTTCTGAGGGATTGGTAGTTTTGGAAATACATGCAAAATCACATCGAAAACTCACTTTCAAACAGCCGCCCAGACCCTGACTCACCCCCCCCACACACACGTAAGACTTTTTGGAATGTTATGCTGTATAAACCACCAAAGAATCTGTCAAGTTTCAAGACTCCGAGACATTTGTCACTCGAGTAGTCTAGTTTACTGCACTATGTAGTGTGAATCACTGTAATGGTCAAGAGCACAGACTTGTCACGTGACCTCGTTAGAGAACTCACTATGATATATGAGTTTGGAACTAGTTACTGTATTCTGAGATAAATTTTGACTTATTACCTTTGGTTAAAGCTAATTTTCATCTGCTATTTACACTTAGGACATTGCCAACCATGGTGGTGATATAGATTTCAGAATAGAGATCGAAGACATAAATATATAATTTCAGACCTTTAGCTCATAAAAATTACATTAAAATTTCAATTATGTTTCTGACAGTTTTCACGTCACCTTCTAGCCTGGGGATATTTTTTCTTTTTTTCGAATTCTGACTTTGTGAAATCACATTTATTTCAATTTCCCTCCCCCTTTTTATCGTTTCAGATAGAGAAGAATGTTCTCCATACATTGTTTATTAGCTGAATATTATTGATAATATAAAAAAGTACTTATCGTAAATCACTATAGTTAACGAGTCCAATTACCTTCATATCTGAAATATATCGGAGTGACCCCAACAGATTTGACGATATTGGCTCTCATACCCAACACATCCTTTATTTACAATCCGCCATTCACTTTCGTCGTCACTGTAATATAGAATGCACCAGACCACCAACTTTCGATTTGCGTAAATATTGGGGGATCCGCCCGCAGCCGGGCAGTCGCACTATTGCGCAGGCCGAATTTACGACCTCTAACGAGGAAAATGAAGGATAATTCCTCGCTAAGTGGAGCGCTGAGCGAAATGGATGAGGGCAATAGAAATTCCGATCACGCGCATCCCCCCCCTGCTCCGGGCCATTCGTTTGCAATACGCCACTGTTTGCCTTTATGACGGTTCCAGAGAATATAAACAACACCCTTCCGTAAGAATAATACAGTGGCGGTTCCATTTACTCAATGTTCTGAGTGCAACTCGCGACCCGCTTTTGACAACGTACGTGATTGTTGGCTGGCGTTGGGCAGGGAGATGTGGCTCAGGGCATCAACGGATCTTACTACAATGCCTCTGATCGGGAGGTTCTGAGGTTCGAGTCCCGACGGTGGCAAGATTTTCGACACGAGCCAGATAGCTATGCCGAGTTGTGACGGTCTTGAGGAGAATTATAGCGTCCGGGTGCTCTGATCGGTAGTTTTTCATGTTTTCTCCGATCAACAGCAGGCGAATGGCGGAGCAGTTTCCTAACTAATGTTTCACGGATCTTTTCCTCCTCTTCCTTGTCCTTTCCTCGCCTCGTACACACACACACACACACACACACACACACACACACACACTTACGTCTACTTGACTATCATACATGCCGGGATATCGGTTGTGAGCGTGGAGCTTGTCCAGGATAAGATAGTGCCCTGCAAGTGGGAGATACTTAGTTTGGGAAAAATCCCTAGCCGACAGTAGGTCGGCTACGGATCTCGCCATCCAGCGAAGGAAGATGACCGCCTCCTCGCTATGAAAAGCATGCGCTACACTTACGGGAATTATGACCTTTAATAGTTTATGCGCTTAAAATGACTAACAATCATTGCACGCATTTAATGTTCTCAGTGCGAATCGTCACCCGCTTTCGACAAAGAAAGTGAATGCTAATGCTGCCAGGTGTTGGTTTTGTTGGTTGGGGCTCCATCGAAAAATCACTTGACGTTAGTAGTTTATGCAATTCGTTTATAATGCTAAGATTTATTGCATGACTACATTTTTGAAAACGAGTGTCGTCAAGAGTGATTTTTCAAATTGTTACGAATGCAGTAAAGCAACATTTAAAACGAGCTGCATACGTTATTTTTTGTGTAACTGCATTAAACATTTATAAGATATTCAAACTTAATTTTGCGAAAAAAAATTGCCTCCGGTATTTGGCATCTGTGCACGAAAAGTCGGCTGCTCAGTTTGCCGCTATGTCCCCACGATTCTCTCGCTGCGTTTGACTGAACGTGTGATGACGCAATCACGCCGTAAAATGCTAATACGTCATCATTTTAATTGCAAAAGAAATCAATTTGTTGCAACAGAAAAGCTCGTTATAAAGATGTTACACCAAAAACATGAAGTTGTCGCGTCGCGGGCTGACACGCGAGCAAAGAAGACAGCCCCGGGGGCTGTGTTCCGCAGCAGGTGACGTCCCGCCTCGCCCCCCCCACCCGCCCCTTCACCTCCACGGCGCACCCGCCCCTCTAAACGAAAGTTGGCCTCGGAAAGCACGCCGCACGGTGGCACTGCTCTGCAACAGCCGCTACGCTGCGCCACTGCTTTTTACGCACCAGCACCACTCTGCGCCTCCCCTCAACCAGCCATCTCACAGCGCTCCGCCCTCCCACTCGCAACGGTCTTCCACGCTCGCCCGAGACAACCTTGCTCTGTGCACTGGCTCCTACCTCGTCTCCGCGTGCAACACTCGCCCTTCTCTTTTCAGATTCCTGGCCTGCGACCGCTCGCTCCCCTCCGAACCCCACTCCTCGCCTTCACGATCTCGCTCGTCGAACAGCGCCCCAACTGACGCCGACATCACACTCGCCTCCGACGAGACTTCACTCCACGCCTGCTCTAGATTCACCGCCCCACACACGCACCCGACTCCATGCTCGCTTCATATCCCGCACTCGCCTCCTATCCCACTCTCTCCTCCGTCGCACCACTGTTCACATATCGGAACCAATACCCCCCTCCCCCAATCTGTTTCGCTTTTCGCCCCACCTCTTCACCTTGAGTTCGACCTCGCCCTCGACTTCATTTTCCCTTCCTACCGTTTACAACCTCGTGGACTTCATTGCTACGGCGATGGGTGAGTTTTACTCCGCGCGCTCTTTCCGCAGTGTGCTAATGTCTGCGCGCCGCTCCTCCGCTTCCGCCGCGGCACGTCCATATCGATCCGTCTCCCCCCCCCCTTTCTCGCTCGTTGACATCATACACTTTTCCGACACCTCCGCACACTGACATTCACTCGTTCATTTCATTCTCGACATAGCTGACTGTCTGTTGTTCAGACTGTGACCTTGAAATACACATCATACGTTTCAAATTAACAGCGTGTAGGTTAATTTTCGTGGAATTAGTAACTCTCTAAATGTAGCTGTGACCAAACGACCCTTCATCCCCTCGACTTACTAGGGGAAGCGGAGGAAGTTCACGAACGTAAGCCCTTATTTTCTGAGAGCACTTCGTAACATCAACCACTCACGCCCCTGGTGCGAACGCGATAATGTGAGTGTAAGTTCTCTTTGGCGGCAGAGATCCACTGGCTGTAATTATCATGACTAACGTTAGGTAGAAGTATATGTTTCTGCCTTTCAATATGGTTTGATTACAATATTTATCGATAACTCAGGTACACAAAAATTGCCCGGCAAAAGACTTAACACATGTTTTCTATGTATTTCAAGGCTATGAATCCGAATCTAAAGCTTTAATTGCGCCAACACTTTCCATTTTTTTAAATCGCAAAAAAACATCGTGTAAATTGTATGTATTCGGGGGTTGTTGTCAGTATCAATGACTTGACACATGTTTCATTATGTATGTCGATGCGATTAATTGGAATCTGAAGCCAGAATTGCACCTCACAGCCAGAATTGCATCAAAAATACAATTTCACGGTCGTTTTAAGCGATTTAGAAAAATTGGGGGAGTTGGCCCAATTTGGCTTCAGATTCGGTTTCAGTACGTTAAAATACATATAGAAACATGTGCCAAGTCTGGGTCGGACAATGTTTTTGAATGTGCCCGTGTATTTTACAGTTGACCCCTATAACCCCCGTCTTCCGTCCCCCATACTATCCCTCTGCCCCTCGGCAGGCCATTGGTCTGATTAAGAGCGCCCGATACGAGCAGTCGCAGGTAGAGAAAGAGGCAGGCACCCGACCGCGTCGGTCTGTTTGCTGGGAGAAGTTACGGCCGTATTCTTTATTGCGCGTATCCTGCCGGCCGCTACTTCTATTACCCGCTGTAACTTTCCTTTCTTTCTCCACCCGGCGCGCCACTTACGCTCCCCGTCTCGGCCAGGGCCACTTCCGGATCCCCCAGTACCTACAGGACCGTGATGCTCTGCTGACCTGGCGTGTTTGTAATGTATCCGTGTTCAACTTAGATTTGTAGGTATAATGCTACATAAGTTAAGGTTGTATAAACATGGTTACAAACTCCGTAACAACACATATTACCTCCTTCACTAGTTACGTTACATAAACTAGTTTAAGAAGTGGTGCTACGGACGTATTACTTTTATATTTTCTTTGGTCTCGGCTAGCTAAATGAACTTGGCACACACTGTAGCCAGCTGCCGAATATCTGCACAAGGTACTTTTTTTTAATTTTCTTAATTTTTCAATTTTCTAATAATAGAACGGAAATATTATTTTAATTATATTAATGAACACTTCATAAATGGCAATTTTCTTCAAAAAATTAGAAGCCTATTTTTTAAGAAAATGGCGATTAAGTGATACTGTAAATTCGAAATTTGAAGCTCTTTTACCCAGAAAATTTTTAGTTTTCGAAAAACTTCATTTGAAGTACTAAAACTCACAAATACTATAGTGTTCACTACTTGTTGGAAATGTGCATATAAACGCCGTGGAAGACATTTCAAAAAATTACATTCGTGTAGTTTTTGAAAAAACACACAAATACTCCGAAATCAACTTTACATTATATTAAAGAGTGCAATTAGCACTATCCGTTTAAAAAAATTGTGCTCCCTTGCCCCGCCTCACCTCTCCCGCCTCGCCGCTGCCCGCCCCGACTCGCCTCCCCTGCCTCGCCTCGGCCCCGCTTTTTCTCGCCTCACCTCGCCTCCACCTCTCCCCCACCACGCCCTCTCGCCCGTGCCGCCCCAACCCACCTCCCCCTGCCCTCTGCCCTGCCTTGTACCGCCTCGTCCCAGCTCGTCCCGCCTCATATTGCTCCTCCCTGCCCCGCTTCCCCCACCTTGCCTCAACCCGCCGCGCCACGCCCTGCCCCGACTTGCCCCACCTCAGCTCTCCTTTTCCCGCTTCGCCCCGCCTCTGCCCCCACCCTCCGCGACTTGGCCGCGTCGCCCCGCCACGCCTCGCCTTAATGTTCATTTTCTGTTTGCGCCCCCTCTCCTCATCTCGCCTTGGGCCGCTTTGCCATGACTCCACCCCAAACCTCCAGACTACGTCACTCAGTTTCTAAATAAAATAATTTAAAATCTATGTTATAAGAGATAGAGAAAATAAATTATACTCACACTTACGTATGCTTTTTGTGATTCATATATCATACCAACACAATAAAACACTTCCCTACCATAATCATTCAGTCTGTTACATCTTTAGCATCATCATAAGTATTTACGTAAGCTTGATTAATCACTTTTTCATTAATTTCATGTATCCTGTACTATTAATACATGGGTTACATTTAGATAAATTTTTAACTTATCTTTATAAATATTTTGTATGTGAAGAAAAACTTTCAAATATTATCCTTCTGAAATAGAAACGGTTCACATTATGCAATTGAACGTAAAATAATGAAACAATTAATATTTATTTCAGCATTGTTTCAATATCATTTATATTAATTTTTTTATTTGTAAACAACTTTACTTTTATGTAACAGAATAGTTACCTAAAGTGCTTTGCTCGATTGCAGTCATTTAAAATAATTAACCTTACCGAAACGAATACGCAGTAACGACTAATAGCCGCGATGTTTAACATAATATGTATTGCATATTTTGCTTGTTATGGATATTAGATATTTCGTAGGATAAGCTGAATTTGGACTATATTCGTTCGTAATTCATAAGGCGTCCCTTTGAACATGGTATAAGATAGTGTATATTACTTATTCTGCAATTACATGTCTCTATTAGCTCTTGTCTAAATCTTTCAGTTTCTCGCTACGAATAGAGTGAAAGTTATGTAATGCGGCGCAAAAAACGGCAGAGTTTTTTCGTCAGAAATACTCTTATTGCCGAGCCCTCGTAACGAAAAAGTTGATAAATCCAGTTGCTAAATTTTGGGGAGGGTGAATCTTCTAAAATGTGGTGTAGCCAGAATCCATGTTTTGTAGGTCTTTGGTTGCGAAAAATCGATTGACGGAAAAACATGTCAGTCTGCCCGTCTGTGAACAACGCTAGCGGCCAAACCGTTCTTCCGGTTTTCGCCAAAGTTAATATTTCCCGATCGATCTGCCTGATGTCGCGGACCTTTGAATTTGAAATAGATATTTCAATTTTGGGGAACACTTTAGATGAAGTATCTGGGACATTTTCAAAATTTTCAAAAGAATTGCCCCATTGTTTGTTATTAAATGTTGTTGTTGTATATTGTAAAGGACGTTTAAGGGCTTGGTGATGGTCTCACGTTCCTTAAAAACCCTCATTTTTACAAAATTCACATTTTTTCTTAAAAAATCTGTTGCTCAAAAATAGATATTGAAAAAAGGTCGAAAATGTGAGTACTTTTCGTGTAATTTATACGTGAAAATACGAGCGAGGAAGAACGGGCTGTTTTAGCACCACTAGCTCTCTTTTCTCCCTTCCATCGTTCCTTCTTTACTGCGTTAATCCCGTTTTTTTTCTCCCGCCGCCTCTGCACACGCGCGGTGGGAGGCGTGGGCGCATACGCCCCGGAGTCACGCGTGCCGCGCGTTTTGCGTCTTCGCGTGCGCGCAGAGGAAGCCTTCGCCTTGTCGCCCGTTTCCTTCGGGTTCTAGTCACCTACACGCTCCTCCAACCCCCGAGAGGTTTTGCCGCTTCGAACGCGGCGGGGGAAATTACGAGCTTCGTTCTGGAGCGCCTACTTCCTTTTGCTGTTTGCATTACATTCGCGTGAATACTCTACGAAGCTTTCTGGCATTTCGCGTTCGCATTTCATGTCGGTGACTTTTTTTTACTTTGCAAACACGATCCAACTTCGGCCCAAATTATTCATTTCCTTCCATTACACGCGAAAACTTGTTTCGGTGCATATATTCGGGAGAAATGTGAAAATAGTTTTAGCTATCATTGAATAGCTTGTTGAAGTCACATGGTGAAGACTCGTAATATAATTTTGAATGGAAATTACATTTTTTTGTTCTTTGGTATCCACTGCTTAACGTTATTTCAAGATACTTTTCACATATTAATTCTCATAAACCAAAGCTACACTTGAATTTCGTTTTCCATCTTCACAATGAAAAATGAATTACAGGAAGGTATGTTCGGGAAATATTTTGCGAATAATGGTATTCCAATGCAATTTTCTTCCACACTGATTGCGTCCCCAAGGCAAAGTTTAGGATTGCGTTGTTTATGAACATATTTGCAATTCATGAGATGATAAATATCAAATCTCATTCAGCGTACTTCTCCGTTGGGAGTTGGGTGCATTTCTGCTTTGGGAGAATGAAATCGTACCGTCAAACACGTTATTCCCCGAGCAGCAAATTTACAAATTGTTTTAATTTTGTGCATATTCAGTCATAATACAAAGAAAAACCAGTGGTATTAAAACAGAACGTACTCTCTCGACCATAGTTTCACGCTAAATTACGGGGAAAGTACTAAAATGTTCGAAAAATTGTACAGGAACTTATTTCAGAATCTATCTTTAAAAAACAGATTTTATTCAGGAAAAATATTTTTCGTCATAACTGTAGCTGTAGGAAGTTCCCGAAAATTTTTAACTTTTGAATTTTTCGAAAAATCAGAATTTTCTACAAACGTAAGTCGTACACCATTCTCTTGAATGTCCTTCTCACTATCCAACAACAAAACATAGTGGAATTTATAAAAACGATGGATCCATTTTTTTAAAATTTGAAATACGTCCCAGGAGCTTCATGTAAAGTAACTCTCAAAGTTAAAATGTCTGTTTCAAATTCAAGGAGCCTTGACATTTGCGAGATCGATAAGGGAATGTCAATTTTGGAACAAATCAACGGTTTAGACGCTAGCGTTGTTGACGGCCGGACAGACAGACAGACATGTTTTGTTGTCATTTGATGTTTTGCCATCAAGGTCCCTCGAAACATAGATTATTTATACACCACGTTTTATAGTATTTTTTTGTTGTAAATTTAGCAACTGGAACTATTCACTTTTTCGTTACCAGGGTCCGTTTTCTCTCTAATCCGTAGAGAGAAAGTAAAATTGCACTCTTTTATACCTGTAATTTCTTTCAGATAATATTTAATTAATTAAAAAAGAAGAATGAATGCAATCGTTCCCTCCAAATAATTGATTGAGATAAGTTTTCTTATTGAAACATTACCACAGTCAACCTATAGTCTCTCTGCGATTGTCATCTTGACGAATGTATAACGATTAACGTGCAAAATTGTTTGCAATTTGAATAAAAACAATTACTTTGTAGATATTATGTCCTCATAAAACGAAGTGGCAACGTTTCGAAATTTTTTTCTATTCTGTTTGAAATAGTCTTCATGGAATTTAAATTATTTAGTCGGTTAAATTTTCATGTAAATCCCTTTTCCATGCGTTTCGTCTCAAATGCCTCAGACCTCATTAATGACGGAGCAATCGCGTTATCCTTCAAAACAAGTGGCAGGTGGATGACGAAGGTGCCTGCTCAGCGGGGCCTTTTAGCGAAGGAGGGGGCGAGGGGGTGCCGGATGTTGCTTGGCGGGTCCCGCAGGCGCGACTCTAGATATGCTTCCGTGACGGACTCATGTCTTCGGGTGCCTACGTGACATACGACCAATATTTGACCGCGGGACCGTTTGGGCTTCATCCAACGGAGTGCAGGTACTTACACAGAGTGTGTTGTTACTCTCCTCTTTCCTATTGAAATTAATATGATACTTGTAGAATTCAATCGCTTCACGGTGTTTGGCTCTGAGACCATATGGTTTCATTTGGCGACAAACACGCTAAAAACTTGTGCTCTAAGATAAGATTTCTGCAGAAAATAGAAACTGATAGTTCTCCCTGTCATTCCTCCCCTTCCCTCAACCCTTTTCCCCCGGTTCAGTTGGCTAAGGTCATCAACTGATGCCGCGGTAGTGCCTCTGATCGGGAGATTCTAGATGTTGAATCCCGACATTGGTAGGATTTTCGTCACTAGTTACATATCTAAATCGTATTCAGCCACTGTCTGGAGGAGAATTATGGCGGCCGGCTGCTCTGATCAGTAGTTTCCGTGGTTTCTCCGATCAACAGAAGAATGGCGGAGCAGTACCCTAGCAAACAGGCCACGGACCGCGCGCGATCTTTCCTTCCCCTTCCTTCTCCACGCCTGGAAACACTAATCAATTGTAACACTGTAGTCGTATGTCCTGCTTTGCAAACAGGATAAGTTGTTGGGAACAAGAGACAAACAAATAAACAGAAAGAGAGAGAAGGAGGGATGTGGAAGTGAATAGACCTGCTTCGAAGATCCAGATAGCTCTAGTAGATAAGCTGTGGATAGTTTCTGAATAAGTTCTTTCCTAAATAGGAATGAGTACAGGATGTTCTAGAACCGAAGTAATATAAGTTTGTAATTGTCAAGAAGAAGAGTGGGTGGTCAGCTGGCCCTCGCTTGGCGCTGCTGTCGAGGCACTGTTTGCGCAGGCGGCAGGCGGGGCTGGGCCCGCGACTGGGCCGCTCGCCCGCGCTGCAGATGGTGGAGGAGAAGGCGCGCGTGGTGCTGAGCCGTGCCGAGTTCTCCACGCTCGCCTACTACCAGGAGGAGTACGCGGGCCGGCAGATGACCATCGAGGCGTTCGTGGCCGTGCTGCTCGAGCTGCTCAACACCCCCGAGAAGGTACTGCCCCCCTCCCGCGACATCGAGCCTTCACCTGCAGTTGTTTGCTAGCTTCTCTGAACACATTCACGATTTCTTTACTTAGGCGGTGCGCAACATTTCTAAAACTACTTCAACGGCTCCTTGTATTAAGAAAAATGATTTTGTATTCAAGAAATGGCGTTCGTGTGTGAAGTTTTCTTTGTGATTGAGACCGTGACCCATACCCTCTAACCCTAAATCAAGTAAATTTTTTACATGTTTTTCTTTTACATTCACCGGTTTTATGGCACTAGGACGAGGATTCTCAATCCCCTACATTAGGCGAGTAAATTGCGCTTTTTAACTCGCGTCCTTCTGTCGAGTGTGGATTTCTGCTTGTCACGAGAGGCCTTCGCATTGATTGTGGCTAATCCGAGAAGAGGCAAGTCTCGTATCACGCCTTGCGTATTGTAATTCAGTTAGTTTACTCTACGCCTATATGTGTATTTTTGAGTTTGTATCAGATCCGGAGGGTCGTAGTCGGTCACCCAACCACAAACCCCAGGATGCCTTGAATTTGCGAACTTTCGTTACTTGACGTATTTCATGCATTCGACTAGCTACGCCTGTTTCGCGGTCGCGACCTTTCACAAGAAACAACCCAGCATTCGCCTGTATGGTCGATGGAAACCACGAAATCTTCGGTCAGGATGGCTGGCTGGGGGACTGAACCCGAAACTCTTGAGTGCGAACCCAGCGCGCTATGCCCTGAATCACATTGCTCCGTTTTCACCTATATGCAAAACAGTGAATAATAAATTAATGCTAAACGCATATTTAATTTGTTTATTTGACTTCCAGTATTCAATCAATTAAATATTTATTATTAATGTATTACAAATTTCTGCATATATATTTCGAATAGTATAATTTCCAGTAACCTTGCGTTTTCATTAACGCTCATTTTCACAGACATCACAACGGTACACAATGCGAACGTTAGTATCGTTTATAAATCAATAGTTCAGCAAACTTCATTTCAATTTTTACAGTTTCTCTATAATTGAAATTCAGCAGAATTGTTTATACAAATTCTGAAATAATTTTCGTAGCTAAAAAATAATATTTTGTGTAAAAATAATATAAAATTTATCCTAGTCATTGACTAGCGCGTGTAAATCAATCGGAACGATTCAATACGCTACACTAAATTCCACAAATTTCGTGCTTTAAGTCGAATTTTAATTTATTCACAATTGAGTCTATTTATAATCAATAAAACAAAACAAACGTTTTCAACTTGCTTCAAATGATTCCTAATTTTTTCCACCCTGTAGTTTAAATAACTAAAAAAATCAAATGATATATTGAAAACAAAAGAATCAAAGCGTATTTTGACATCACGAACGATTCCCTTTTCAGTGAAAAATGGATTGAGAAGTCATTTATTTACCTTGTGATAAAACTACTGTTACCAATAAGCAGATTCCTATATGTCCGCCACATGTAATTAATGGAAAACAAACGTGTATTCACTTTGCTGTAAGATCGCTGACGTTTATTATGTAATTGCATACTCGATTTTGTAAGTCACGAATCAGTGAAACCTAGTATCTCTGTTTTCATCAAGCATCTACACTCCTACAATGCCAAAATAGTTGGAAGTTTTAGTGTTTCCGGTGTGTTTGTGTTTACAAGATATGTGTTTCCTGAAATAATGGAACTCATCTCCGTGAACTTAATATAATAATTAAGGGAGGCGACGTTCGATGGGTTTGCCGTCATCATCGGTCTCGTTGTGTGCGGAAAAGGTGGGTTTCTCGGGCCTTCGGGGACCATACAACTTAACGGATCAGAGACATTTTCCGGTTAATACAAGCTTCCAGCTTGTACAGGTTCCGGTTTAGACATATTTTACTGTGTTAAGTTGACGGTGATGACTTACATTAGTTCATGTATTTTCGTCAACAACACGGAACCCGAATTGCGACAATAAATGTTTTTGTGTGTTGCACGCGTCCAGGCAGGGGCGCTGGCAGCGTGGCTTTGTCTAAGCGGTGCGATGTCCTAGTAGAGCCTAGCGCAGGTGCAGCGAGGGCTGAGGCGGTGCGCGTGCGCAGTACACGCTGCTGACGGAGCTGCGCGAGGTGGTGCTGCCCGAGGACCGCAGCCGCTTCGACGAGCTGGTCTACCGGCGCGAGGCGGAGGGCCAGCGCTGCCGGGAGCTGCGCGACCTCCTCGACCAGCGCGAGCAGGAGCGGCACGGCGCGCCGCGGGTCAGTGTGCGCCCCCACCTCATGCACCACCATCTCATACACCACCACCTCATACACCACCCCTATACACCGCCACCTATACACCACACCTCATACACCACACACCTATACACCACCACCTCATACACCACCGCCACCTTCATACATCCACCTCACACACCGCACCTCACACACCGTCACGTCATCCACTCACCACTAATATCCACCACCACCACCTCATACACCACCACCTCATACACCACCACCTCATACACCACCTCTCTCTCCACCTCCCTCTCTTTTTCCTTTCAACCTCAACACTCTCAACCTCACTCCATCTCCCCTGCATCAGGCCCCACCTTCCGCGTCGCCTCACATGCTGCCTCTTCACGCGTAACCCACGCCCCGCCCCTCGTATCTCGCCCTGCCCCATCTCGCCTCCCACGCTGCGGCCCTCTCTGCTGTTACCGTCCCGCTACTCATCACAGCACTTGGCTTCGTCGCTGATGACTCCCCCTCCCCCACTCCTCGACCCTCCAGGACCAGCGCTCATGACGACGCGGCGCCACAACGCGCAGTACCTCTCTGTACCAAGCTTGCACTTTCTCTCTTATTCCCCGCTCCTTCTAACGCTTCTCTGCCCAACCTCACATCACACCCCGCCACCGCGCGTCGTCCTTCCTCACCTTGTTTCTCGGCCCTCCCTCCCACCTTGTCCTGTCATTTCTCCTCGCTCTATTCGCGTCTTGCTACGTTTCGTCACCCCTGCTCTGCCAAGAACAGCCACTCGACGTATCCTGCCCCTTA